CTTTGCCTATCTCGTCCACGTAAGCCTTTTCGGGTATTTTGCATTGAAGTTAGATTGACTCTGTAACACGGTTGTACGTTACATCTTTGGCCTCCGGCGCAATGTGACCATGATGCCATATTATGCTAAGTTGGGTTGGCTGCGCCCCCAGTAAAAGACGCGAATATTTTTTGAGGGTCTTGAGTTGATAAAGTTTTTAGGCTGGACAGAAGTTATACTACAGATTATACTGCAAATTATTTGTTCTACGTTACGATTTATTGTATACCTTATCTTCTTTGTTCAACTTAAATCACAAATGAAAATCACTTTTGATAATTTATGAATATTAATGTTTTAAATTATGCTTTTGCCATACGGGCTACATGTACTTGGCATGATAAACTGTGTTTTAAGTCAAGTCTCACTTGTATCTTTGACTTATCCCAACTTTTTTTTCTTCTCTGCTACACTTTTCTCTCGATAGCCTCTTTTACACACACTGCCTAAATTAAAGAAGATCGCGTATCCCTTTGTTCTTTTTCCTCCCATCGTTTCTGCAGGTCTATTTCTTGCCGCTGCGTAGGCCAACTTGATAGGTCCCTACCATATCTGCTGATTTCTCTTATTTGTATTGCTGACGTAGCATTTACAACATTTCTGATTCACTCTTCAGATTCATTCGACCCTTTGGTACGTTGAGTATCATCTTATTTTCTCCCTAGGGGTTGCTACTACAACAGAGTACAGAAAAAAGGTTACATATTTTTATTAGTATATATATCTAGCTTCAGAGCAGGGGCATCAACTGTAGCCTGTGGCATGGCAACAAATTTAAGAAGCAAATGTTTTCACGCTACATGATAAAGTAAAAGACGTATTACTGTTATCATACAATTATAAATAAATATTGTAATGATAGATATTTACTTCAAAGAAAGAAACTAAACATAACTAAGTTGATGTTATGACCTGTTCTAAAAAAAAAGATAGTAACGAGCAGGGCAAATTTAATAAAAGAAGCATAAACAGATGCAAATATAGTAGATAGATAGAACTTTTTTCTTCTTAGTTCTTACCAATGTTAATTGTTTCATACTATTTATAAAATACTATTCATAAGATTTATAAGTGTATATAATAATAATAGTTTTAGCTCAGTATCCACAGTGTTATATTAGTGTCAGTTGACCAGTTGACCAGTGAATTTTACTAATAGTAAATTAATTAATGCATGTGCAATAAAGTATCGACGACGGAAAAGTTTTTATGTTGTCAGCAGCTCTAATTACGCCTTTATTACCGAGATAATGATCTCCAATTCTATATCATGGGCATATTTTGCATAATGACTTTTTTTCCCATGATAATATGTGCAGTAATCTTTGGCATAAACAAGTGAAATATAAAATTAAAGACACCTAATCCAGTATTTTTTTAATAATTATTGTGATTTTAATTTGCCATTAAACAAACTAGTATCTTTACACATAATTAGACAGTAACTTTACAAAAATAATCCCAACGACCAGGAAGCACTCCGGGTAGTGTAGTGTTTGGCTCATGTGTTATTTTATTTATTTAATTAATAAATTCAATGGTCAGTAAGTGCTTCGCGTTGTGTGGTGATTTGCACTTATGTTATTGTATTTATTTAATTAATAAACATAAATAAACAAAGCAGCCAATAAGCGCACTGGTTGGTGTGGTGATTGGCGCCTGTGTCTTTGAATTAATTTTATTAAATAGTAAAGCGGCCAGTAAGTGCTCCGGATTAAATGGAGATTGGTGCTCGTGTTTTTTTTTTCATAATATCTATTAACCAAGTGACCAGTAAGCTCCCTAGGTTGTGTGGTGATTGGGGCTTGGGTTATTTTATTCATTTAATTATTAAACCAAACGGCCAGTAAACGCTTCGGGTTAAATGGTGATTGGCACATGTGTTATCTTATTTACTTAATTAATAAACTAAATGGCCAGTAAGCGTACCGTGTGGGGGGATGATTGGCACATTTGTTATTTTATTTATTATTTTAATTAACGTAGCAGCCAGTAAGCGCGCTGGGTTGTGTGGTGATGTGCGCTTGTGTTATTTTATTCATTAAATTAATAAACCAAACGGCCAGTAAGCGCACCGTGTTGTGTGGTGATTGGCACATTTGTTATTTTATTTATCATATTCATCAACAAAGTGGCCAGTAAGTGCTTCGGGTTAAATGGTAGTTGGTGCATGTGTTATTTTATTTATTTAATTAATTAACAAAGTGACCAGTAAGCACGTCGGGTTGTGTGGTGATTGGCGCTTGTGTTATTTTATTTATTTTATTAATTAACAAAGCGACTAGTAAGCGTTTTGGTTGGTGTGGTGAGTGGTGCTTGTGTTATTTTATTTATTTAATTAGTCAACCAAACGGCCAGTAATTCCTTTGTGTTATGTGGATATTAGTGCTTTTGTTATTTTATTTTTTTAATTAAAAAACTAAATGGCCAGGAAGTGCTCCGGGTTGTGTGGTGATTAGCGCTTTTGTTATTATTTAAAGCAATTAATTTTTAAGTGGCCAGTAGGCGTTAATCGTTGCTGGGTTAAATAGCGTTGGGTTATTCGATTTAATAGCTTAGGCTTCATTTATTCATTATGCTAGAAATTTTGTTGAGTTATGTGGGTTTTTGCTTGTTGCTCCATACAGCCAATTCGAATTTCGCGCTACTTTGGATGCTCTTTTTGGGAGCACTGTGCTGGAGTTGTGGTTCCACTGATTGAAATAAAAGATCTCAGTGTCACCAACTCAAGTTATATAACATGGAATGTTCACGTGTGTGTCATTTGCTCTTGGGTCCATGGTGTATGGTAGGGGCTGAAATATAAAGGCTGCCTCTTATCCAGCAGATTAAAAGTGAAACTAGTATATTGCCTAGTTACGCTACTGTTTTACTTTGCCTATCTCGTCCACGTAAGCCTTTTCGGGTATTTTGCATTGAAGTTAGATTGACTCTGTAACACGGTTGTACGTTACATCTTTGGCCTCCGGCGCAATGTGACCATGATGCCATATTATGCTAAGTTGGGTTGGCTGCGCCCCCAGTAAAAGACGCGAATATTTTTTGAGGGTCTTGAGTTGATAAAGTTTTTAGGCTGGACAGAAGTTATACTACAGATTATACTGCAAATTATTTGTTCTACGTTACGATTTATTGTATACCTTATCTTCTTTGTTCAACTTAAATCACAAATGAAAATCACTTTTGATAATTTATGAATATTAATGTTTTAAATTATGCTTTTGCCATACGGGCTACATGTACTTGGCATGATAAACTGTGTTTTAAGTCAAGTCTCACTTGTATCTTTGACTTATCCCAACTTTTTTTTCTTCTCTGCTACACTTTTCTCTCGATAGCCTCTTTTACACACACTGCCTAAATTAAAGAAGATCGCGTATCCCTTTGTTCTTTTTCCTCCCATCGTTTCTGCAGGTCTATTTCTTGCCGCTGCGTAGGCCAACTTGATAGGTCCCTACCATATCTGCTGATTTCTCTTATTTGTATTGCTGACGTAGCATTTACAACATTTCTGATTCACTCTTCAGATTCATTCGACCCTTTGGTACGTTGAGTATCATCTTATTTTCTCCCTAGGGGTTGCTACTACAACAGAGTACAGAAAAAAGGTTACATATTTTTATTAGTATATATATCTAGCTTCAGAGCAGGGGCATCAACTGTAGCCTGTGGCATGGCAACAAATTTAAGAAGCAAATGTTTTCACGCTACATGATAAAGTAAAAGACGTATTACTGTTATCATACAATTATAAATAAATATTGTAATGATAGATATTTACTTCAAAGAAAGAAACTAAACATAACTAAGTTGATGTTATGACCTGTTCTAAAAAAAAAGATAGTAACGAGCAGGGCAAATTTAATAAAAGAAGCATAAACAGATGCAAATATAGTAGATAGATAGAACTTTTTTCTTCTTAGTTCTTACCAATGTTAATTGTTTCATACTATTTATAAAATACTATTCATAAGATTTATAAGTGTATATAATAATAATAGTTTTAGCTCAGTATCCACAGTGTTATATTAGTGTCAGTTGACCAGTTGACCAGTGAATTTTACTAATAGTAAATTAATTAATGCATGTGCAATAAAGTATCGACGACGGAAAAGTTTTTATGTTGTCAGCAGCTCTAATTACGCCTTTATTACCGAGATAATGATCTCCAATTCTATATCAGGGGCATATTTTGCATAATGACTTTTTTTCCCATGATAATATGTGCAGTAATCTTTGGCATAAACAAGTGAAATATAAAATTAAAGACACCTAATCCAGTATTTTTTTAATAATTATTGTGATTTTAATTTGCCATTAAACAAACTAGTATCTTTACACATAATTAGACAGTAACTTTACAAAAAAAATAAAAAAATAAAGAAATCTGATGAAATAAACTCGAAACTTTTGAACTTTAATCACCACAGCAGGGGTCTGATTCAGTACTCCGATGTACGCAATTGAGTTCGAATATTATCGTTACTTAACGTGCGGGATGTAGCGGAGTTATAAATTTTGGTGTACATTGTTTGCAACATGATGAGCAATCTCGAACGGTATTTAGTATATGGAAGCTCTGAATCAGACCCAAGGTGTTCAATCATGATATGCGATGCATCAATATATTAAAGTAACATAGTGTCAACCTAATCTCGACATGGGGGTTTGGCCACCTTTTCAGCTTCCTTTTCAGCCACCTTGCCTCGACACTTGTTACTCTGATGCCAAATCGTAAGTCCATTAATTATCCAATAAGACGTAAAACAGTTAAAGAATATTATTGCAATCATCATAAAAAATTAAGTGAATTGCAAAAGATTGAAGCAATAAAGGATTCCATTGTATGAGATATATCCTTGGATAAAATTAAGATCGAACGTTACACGAAAACGATTGGTAAATCTGATACTACCTAAATACATTTCTTATCTTCTTTTTTTTTTTTTTTTTTTTTTCAGGTAATGTGGCTGACTTTTTGCACGGCCATAGTTGGTTACGTGCCCGAGGGCGCGTTCAAGCGCTGGCTAAATCAACGTGTCCTGATAATGTGCTTCGCCTTGCTGTCCAGTGCACTGTCGAGCGTCATTATTTATCACAACTCCGAGAACAGGCCGAAGAGTGGCATCTGTGTGGCCAATCACACCTCGCCTATCGACGTTCTTGTCCTTATGTGTGACAATTGCTATTCACTGGTACGGTTTTAGAGAAAGAGGGAGGGAAAGAGCCATTCAAGTAAACGGCCAAGTTGAACGAACACTTTGATGAAAAACGCATTGAAAAAACGTTTATCGTTGTATTTGTCAGAAAAAAAAATAATTAGGGTTTCCTTACGTATTAACTTTCGAAACTCATTAAAATCATACTCAAATTATAATTTAACCAGTGAGAAAAAATCATTTATACAGTTCATTCCATTTTTCTAAAAACGTCAGCTCTGCTTTAGAAACGACGAGCGTGTGACTTACCAACTTTATGTTTGTAAATAATGTAATATGATAGATCAAATAGCAAAAAAAAGTATCAAACGAATTATTAGATCTTAGAGTATCAATATTCATTCATAAATTAATGAATGTATGAATTATAATTATTAAATCAGTGTGTTTATTAAATTGGTTCATAATTTTCACTTACGTCCCAGTATACGGAACAATATGTTTTGATGTCCCTTAGCAATCTCAGTCTGGCCCAGTTTAGTGAACGCGTTTGACCAGTACTCGCACAGACGATTTTCGTGTCTTAAATCCAATAGTAATAGTATCACTGCACTTTAATATCGTGTTTTTTGGTAAAAATTGTATACATTTTGGGTACGTTTGCAAATGAAGTGTTATAAGAAATCCTAACCTATAACTTTGCTTGTTTACTCAACAGTCGTAAGCTTGAAACATGAAAGCGCGCGGAAAAAGTGCGAAAAGTATGCATACTTTTACGCATAAATTTGATATTCATGCATAAAGGTATGCATATATTTCCCATATTTTCCGTGATTATTACAAGAAAAACAACAGCGCCTCCGGAAAAGATTTTAAGTGTCAAAACTAACTACAATCAAAAGAAAAAATGACGGTCATATAATTTAACATCAAATAAAGTTAAATCTGCTGTTGAAGCTTTTAAACAATAGACTCTTTTAGACAAGTTTCAAAAACATTTTGTATGAACGTCTGATGCTTAGATGAAAAAGGCTCTGGATGAAAGAGAAAAGAAAAAAACAGCAGCAGAAAATTCTAAAAGGAAAAAACAGCTTATGAATCAAAAGAAGAATCTTGATGCTAAGCAACAACGACTTTTGAAAGAGCATAAGAAATTTTTATCTGCTAAGAAAAAAGAAATTGATGGTGCCATACGTATCTTATCAACTGGAAAAAAGATGAGTTTAATAAGTTTTATGATGTTTATGACTCCAACAACAGCGAGCAAGACGAAATTCATCAAATAATAAAACCAATGGCTATTGCTGTTGTATATAATTTTTTATGGACTGTGTGCCCTCGTTGGGTACTGACGTTGTTTGTATCTTCGAACAAAATAATCTTTTTGACTTGAAAAGGCTCCTACCCAAAGAGGAGAAAAACGTCGACAGGAGATATAATAAAAAATTATATACAACAGCAATAGCCATTGGTTTTATTATTTGATGAATTTAATAAGTTTTGAAAATAAATGATAACAGTTGCCTTTGTATTATTTTTTCGTGAAATTTTTCACTTATTCTGTGATTTTGTACGTACGATGAATGTATATAAACTTTTTAAAATTATAATTGCATTATTATAATCTGTAATATAATTATAAGTATGTAATTACGTAAAAAACTACTCATAAAAAGGCGTTCGTTAAACTGAGACGTGAGATTGGAACACCTCAAAATCCCAAGTTACTGTTCGTTCAATTGGAACATTCTAACCTTGCCCTCTTTTAAGACAATATTAAAAGTTCTTGGTAATATTTTGACAGTATAAAATTTTATTTTTATCATGGATACATATGAGGAACTAAAAATTTTTTTTTTTTTTAATAGTATGCTTTTACTCCTCGCGATAAATTTTAATGTAAAATTTACTCAAAACAGTGTTCGTTAAACTGGGCCGTTTACCTTACCGCTACTTGTACATACTTGTTGTCTTTAAGATTTGTTTGATTAGGAGCATTTGAGAGTCTCAAAAAGATCATCATTTCATGCGTATTGATGTGACTAATTTTTGTAGCTAAAAATTTTTTAGATTGTATGCTCTCCACTTTCAATTTCTTCTTAAAAACTGGATGATCTGGAGTCTTATTTCAGGAAATAAAATGGCAAAAATTTTAACATTATCATCAATTTATACGTAAAATTTTATTTAAGTCCTTGTGAATAATTAATTTTCCTTAAATACATATTTAAAGTTATGTTCTATGTTATTTTGCATAAAAAAGGAATTTCTAATGAAAACGGTACATTGACAACGTTATCGTCAAGAACACTAAGTTATAAAAGTAAAGTTTTTCTTCTAATCTCTCATAATGTTATCTTCTAAGAACGTTATTGTTGGCTCAGTGCAAAGAACAGTCAAATCCGGAATACTAGCAACAAAGAGCCAAGTTATATTTTTTTTTCTTCCAATGCTAAGTTAGCTACGGTACTATGCCTAGTACGTGTACTATGCACGACTACTGCAAACTTCGAGGGCAGTGCTTTGGTTACTTTCTGTTAGTTGAATTGTCCGAAAATTTGTTAGGATAACTAAAAAAACTGCAAGATCGTATTGATTTTGCGATTAATAATACTGTTAGTTAGTGAGCAAACGTCTTTAACCCCATAACGCAAGGTGTTTCAGATTTCCGGTTTTTCAAAAATAAACAATATTAGTTATTTATTATAATACAACCACTTAACGCAGTAAGCTTAATTCTTTTCGTTTTTTATTGATAACATTTTTAATTATTATGTAGTAAGTCTTTGACACATAACGTAAGAAGCTACAAAATTTAATTGTTTGTAAATGGAACTGTTATCTTCTTAGCCAATATCATTTCAATTATTAGTTATTCAAGTGAATATTACCTACTAACGCAAAGGGGTTCATAGATTGTTGTGATAAACATTCGTAATTACTTTTATAATTGAAAGCTTCATTTATTAATAAAACAAAAGGTCTGAATTATCCTGCGTCATAAAGTAAGAAGTGCTTATTTGATAATCGCTAGTATTATTTATAAAAAAACACTTATAAGTGACTCACATTGTACGGTTAAAATGGCTTGCAGTATGAGTGGTATGATTCTTTATAAAATTTTGTTACAAGTAAAAGCGATATGACATTGTCGCCTCTCTAGCACTCTTTATAAATCGTCAAACGATTTCATTAAGTGATTAAGCATCCAGCAAATACTAATCTTAAAGATTGTAGATGAAACGTAAATAAGTATTCACAGTATGCGGAAACAAGTTTTGAAGGTATCAAATTTCGTGTCGCTAACTTAAAATCAAAAGAAAAACAAGCAACTGAATTCATACAAAACATTACGTCTTGCATATGTAAGGCACGACAAACTCGTGCATTACCAGAGCAAAATGTATCATTTATATTATACAGTAATTATACAATTAATTTCAAATAAAATTAAAACATTACTATCTTCATAACAGTTACTCAAACATTGTCAGACGGTTTTCGTTATTTTCTGTGTTAAAACAGCTTTGTAGACAAAAGTAACAAACACAATAAAGTATATTCTACACGACTCGTATTAAGCATTTTATCCACAAGTTAAATGCAAAATAGTTATTTGCTATAAAACGACTTTTTGCTATATGAAATCAATTTTTGTTGTCAATCAATTAATCAAAGTGTTACGTTAACAACATGGATGAAAGTGGTCAATACAAAAAATTGATTTTCGAACAATTTAAAATTTTTGTATGTAATATTTTGTCTACAAATGTTATAAAAAAAAAGTCCTAAATTTTAACTTGGCTCTTTCTTGCTCCTTGGAGTGGTATTGCGTAAAACTATACTCTCTTTTATATATATAATTTAATTGCCTACATAACTAACTATAGTTTTTTTAATTATTTTAAGAAAAATTTCAAATAACTTTTGCACAACCATTTTCCGTGATTACTGGGACCCTTTTTTGATACGGTACCAATCGCATGAATCGCCTTAATCAAACAAATATTGTATTGTAATGTTTTCTCTTTTTTCTTTCTGTACGTCCTTTTTGAGCTTTATATATTATCCCTTCCTAAGCTTTAGACGCTAACTACAGTCCTTGTAATGACTTACTAATTTATTCATCCCCTTTTTTGACCAACATATCTCATTTATCAGCTACGTTCATGTTTATATTTTTTCGTTATAATATATTTTATAATCATTTTGTTCACATTAAAGCATAATATATGTATACACCTACACTTGTCAAAACAGTTGAATAATTTGAATTAAAAATTTAACAGATTGGGCAGAGACATGGCGGCTTCTTGGGTATTTTGCAAAGGGCCCTCGCTCGGGCGTCTCCGCATATTTGGTTCGAGCGCTCAGAAGTGAAAGACCGAGAAGCAGTAACAAAAAGGTGATATTTTACTTCATTTAATATTCCCCGTACATAAGTAAAGCTACAGCACATATATAATCTACGTTCACTTACGATGCCAGAAGACTCATATCTGGACGGTCCGTTCAAAGTATGTATTCTGGTGGCTATTCAGTCCATCTAAAGCACTTGTACTAGTCCTAGAAGTGGCTGGAAAAAATACAAAGTATCCATTACAAGGACAAAATCCATCTTGGATGATTATATTTGCACTGCAGCAGAGGTACTGAGAGCCCAATTAGTTTATTGCTAATACATATTTCAACCATAAACATGGGTCATTCATTCTTCATTTTACCCTTAAAATTTAAATATATTAATAGGTAAAGACCTGTGAAGAGGATACAAAAGCTCATAAAACAAAATTCGTATGGTATATTAATACCTAACATATAAATGCGAACAGTGGACAAACCGTTCTTTTGTGATTAAAACATGATTATGTTAACTATCGACAAATCGGTCTCTCAGAGTAATGATTTGTTACAAGCTCCAAATATACATCAATTTGTAGAGTGTGCCACAATCAATAGTGCAGTGTTAATGGCGTTAAAATATGCCAGGACATTTAATGCTAACACTTAAACCCTTATTTATTACGTATTTACACATGTTACGTAAAAAAACGCTATACAGCCATACTGTTCAGTTCGGGTGCGGCAAAATTTTTAAATAAAACATATAATTGCTCTCAGTTATACCAAGTTTAACCTAGCAAAATATTTTTTACCTTTTATAACACTTAACACTCTACAATTTGCCGTATAGTTGACGTTGGTTTGGTCTGCATAACATATACTTTCTGCTATTATGAGAAATTTACAATAGAAATTTTCTTTCACCCACTTGGCCAAATTAAATCTAGGCAACTATAGCACACGTTGTTCACTAGTTTTAATACCATCACCCAAGACGGGTTTCATCCCACAGATACTCTGCATATTTTGCAGCTACTTATAGAAACATACCTTTCGGCAGTCATTTACTGTACATGCATTGTCCATAAACTACGCGTACAAAAATTTGTATTGGAGAAAGATACTAAAAAAACGAGTTACGTATCCCTCTTTATATTGGACAGAGGGAGAGAGAGAGAGAAAGAGAAAATGTGTGTGTGTGTGTGTTTGTAGCTAATAAAATTTCTTTATATATTAATATTGTTGTAGTGGTTTTCGTGATAGACTCCCTCCTCACCCCCACAGCTACCCCCATCCCTTTCTACGCCTTCCACAGTTCCTACACCATTTTTAATGTCCCATCCCTGTGGTATCTCTTTTATCTCTAACAAAATAAAGCAAAATCATTATAAATAATTATTAAATTAAACAAAATGGGATATTATGTTATTTGAAGCATTACCGAGAAAATCTGCTTTATTAAAATACCGCAGAAACAGTTGAAAACTTTTAAGAATAGCCCAAGATAACTCAGTAATTATTACGTCATTTATTAGTGTTAATTTGATGAAATGAGAAAATTTCAGTAGCAATATAATAGTTAAATAGTTCAATGAAACTATTCAATATTAAATCTAAAATGCTTCGAGAAGCAATACTTACAACTAAACAAAGGAAATCTCTTGTGCAACCTCACTGAAGTAAAGAATCGGAATCGATTGTGTAAGTTTCACTACTATATTAATAAAATATACTGTGTAATGAAAGTTCTGAAAATATAAGCAATCTGTTAAATTCTAAATTAATTTATGTGTCATCCTCTTTTTGACATGAGATCTTTAAGTATCGGCAATAGTTTATGCTCTGTATCAAAGGGTTCAGCCATAAATTTTGGCTAAATTTCTTATCTTTTAATAGTATGATAATTATACTTGTCACAAAAAGGGATTGCAGAGTATTTTTTTTTTATTAGTATTATCTACATCTTTTCATCTTCGATATGGATTCAAGTAACCAGATGAACTATCGAATCCTACACTTACTAGTAACTCTAAGTAACGTTAATTCCTATTTTCGTTACCAAAAACTATAGATTCGCCAAGCCGCTAAGTTGTTTTCTGTAGCTTTGACTGTAACGGTAGCTAGAAGGTAGACACAATTTAATTTTATTCTCAATTTCAAAATATGATAGGGTTATTGGGCAGTTTCAGGATTGAAAATCATTAACTAATGCCATCCATAAACTCTTACTATAATTATTATTTAAGAAAAAAATCTGGAACTGTTTTTCTGTTATTTGGTACGATTTCACAATACGTTATTTCACCTAATTAAATGTTCTCAAAAGTTGCTTTATTTAATTTGGTGGCTAATGTAATAACATTATTATAATTATTTTTCATAATCTCGTGAGATCGACAAAAGGTACTTGTTCTTTCTAAATTTAGAAAGATTTTCTTCCGTCCGGCATTGATACTCATCTTTTTTTTTCTGAAGTCGGCCAACATTTTATTTGTTTGATTATTACGTTTCGACCATCTTTTTTTCATTCTAAATAAATAAACAACCATCTTTTACATCAAAAATATCCTTAAGGTATTAAGTGTAACTTAAAAACTTTTTCATTTATTAGTTTACAAATTTTTTTCAAATAATTAAGAACATTTTGAGTTTTTTTTAATTTAATTAAATTAATTGAGTTGAATCTTCTACACACACATACATACGCGCGCGTGCGCGTACACACAGACGCGTACACACATATGTATGTATGAATGTATGTATGTATGAAATGTGATGTAAAAAACACCAAATCAAAATTTATCATTGGACTGGAACTTAACATTGTCACAAAAACAAATTAAACAAAATTATAGATGTTAAATTTTAAAAGAGAGTGGATGAGAACAAAGACTACTACTCAACTACTATAAAACTATTTATTATTCTTTTATCCAAACAATTTAACTTCATCAACGACACAGACTTGTGCACACACATTTACACAATTGCACACAATTCTTATAATTTTGATTTAAGAAACGAATTTCTACAAACTTTGAGCATTATAATGTGCGATAAAAATAATAAGGAGTGTTGAACGTTCATCTACTTGAATTTTTTATTTTAGCTCAGTACAGTCGTTAAAAACATTGACCTATTAAAAAATTTTATTCAACAATAACATTGTTTCATTTATGCCTATTTTGACTGAACTATTTATTATATTTATTTATTGTATTTACTTAAACCATTTTTATAAACAATTTTAAGATTGTATACTATAAACATGACAACTACAAACTTATGATTGTTAAAAAAAAGTTAAAAGCTTAAATGTACAACCTGAAAAGCAGTTCCAAATCTACGTATTATATTTGACTTCAAAAAATATTTTTAAAATCTGTACGATGAATACTGCATTCAACCTTATTTATTTTAATTTTATGGGAAACGTCAATAAATATGCACAGTTTAAAAACCAATGATTGTAAAAATTCGACTAGAATTATTGCAATGTACGTCAACGATGGCGCTTATGTGGCGAATCCTATTTTTTCTACTGAGGGCACACCAGCCTTTCAAAAACGCCCGAGGTAGGAAAATGAAATTTTTTTATAATAACCAAGTAGATGACCACATTTGAGATTACAAGATACGTAGATGTAACAGTACATTACATCATTTTATATATATTTTACATCTATTTCTGAAAACAATGCCGAATAGGCTCTGCATTACTGTATTACTCTACATGTATATGCTATCGTCATTGGCATATTAAAATCCGCTCAGATTATATTATGATATCCACAGCAACGGAAACCTTATTCAACGTGGCTTCCAAACCATCGGACCACTGTTTAAAATATACATATGAGCCAGTACATAGTTTTTACACCATATAAGTTTTATGAACTAAGACACTGCTAGGGTTGTATCAGTTTTGGTATGTGGTTAATAATTTAGTTTTAATTTTTTAAATAGCTCTTTTTATATTTTATTACAGTGAAAACCTTTAATGTTATTTAAATCACATAAACATTTGAGTAATAAATCTTTTAACAACTACATCTTTATTGGGTAGTAACAATTTTTATGCTTAAGTACGCTTATTTTACCTTGATTTCGTATGTTATGTACATTTTCAGTTCCTTTTTGTACTAACAAATATATTTGCTTATTATTTTTTTAAAGATTTTCGCTGATGTCATACGTTGCATAAAAAATCAAGCTAAGAGGAAGAAGGAAACATATGTGAAAGTACATATATTTAGTATGCAATCTATTAAGTTCAATAACTATTTATGGTTAAATATAGCTTTTTAAAACATCAACGCTACACAAAGTAAATATGCTGCAATATCATATTTGTTACATCCTTGAAAATTTTTCATTTAAAACTCATGTTTTTTAATTAATTAGAAAAAAAATTTCAAGAACTTTTCATAATTAGACATCCACATAAAGCAAAGATTAAGGTAGTCGTTTCCCAATATATAGGTCAATCTTATATTATTATTTTTTTTTTTTTGTGGAGAGAGGGGAAATGCATTGCAGCGGTAGTGTGGGACTCAGTGGATTTTTTTTATTAGACCACCCATACCCACTAAACCTCCCCCCGATGCCGTGTGGCTTTAGTTCCACCCCGGAACCGCGTTAGCATTACTTCGGGGTGGAGCCACCAGGGAGACCATCGCGTCTCACAGCATTAACGAGCTGACTCGCCACCATTTGCTAGAGGTGCCAGTCCTCTCGAGTCCTGAAAAGGACTCAGGGTCCCTGAGGACCAGCACTCTGTCTAGCGCTTCATAGTAGGCCGCTGACCTAGCTGACCGCTTGGGCCTTCATTCTGGCCTCTTCTAGGGCTCTTCTAAATAAAGGGCAGCTCTCTTTTGCCTGCTTCGTGCTTGTTGTCCGTTGTTGGGCAAAGGAAGCACTGTGCTGGGCCTGGACACTCTTTCTTCCGGTGGTTTGAGCTTCCACACCGGAAGCAAAGTTTAGATCTGTTTTCGTTCTTACAGTTGCCTGAGACGTGTCCATATCCCAGGCATTTGTAACATCTTGTTACTTCAATTCTTCTTCGAATGCGGCCGCTTACGAAGCCAACTCGTAACCTGCCTTCCTCTTATACT